CAAAGAAAGATTGGAATCGAAATTAGGGCTTGGTCCTATAGCACAAATAATATTTCAAAACCCTGTTTTTTTAAAAACCAACCACGTTAAATTTTATCCACTTAAAGTGCGAGATGATGAAGATGTTGAAAATATGTTTGTTAGTCATGAACATTCTGGTTTCAACTATATTGAGTTGTATACGTTCCTCCAAAAAAATATTCCATCTCAACAGTCTCAGATCATCAATCAATCAACAGTTGTAGACTCAGATGAAACCAAATCATAATACTCAGATGAAACCGAACCGGAGGTCAACGTCGTTGATGAAGAAGAAGAAGGAAGCAAGACGCTGGTCGATCAACTGTTGAACGACAACGTTGAAGATGACGAACAAGTGCGAATACCTCTAGATCATGTATACTGTCCACCTCAACATATGATAAACTTAGACTTGTAAGACGATGAGAGATCTGTAGATATGTTTCACAACCCGTATATACGGTCAGAGAATGAATAAAAAATGGGATACCAGTTTCGTACCAAGGAGGATTGTGTACGAGCCATTAAAAAAATATCACATGGATAACTCTGTTGATTTCAATGTACACCAAACTGATTCGAGAAGATATGTCATTATTTGTCGTAATCCACTTTGCAAGTTTCGACTTGCTGCGTCTTACAGAAAGATAAGCGATTCTTGGAAGATAGTTTCCATAGAGCCACCTCACAGTTGCACTGCCACAAATATTATTTAGGATCACCGAAAGTTAAACGCAAAATTGATATGTCAAGACATTTTACCGCTTGTTAACAAGGATCCTTCAGTCAAGGTGAGTATAATAATCTCTCATATCGTGACGCGGTATAATTATACTCATTTATACAAGAAGGCGTGTATTGCAAGGTCAAAGGCCGTTGAACAAGTATTTGGCAACTGGGAGGATTCGTACAAGGAATTACCGTGATTTTTGGTAGTGCTAAAGACATACACACCGAGAACTGTTGCAATCATGTAGACAATGTCGACATGTAGGCCAAATGGAACTATTGTTGATGGAAATGTCATCTTTCACCGTCTCTTTTGGTCGTTTCAACCATGCATAATAGGTTTTGCATTCTACAAACCTGTTATTCAAATTAATGTAACATGGCTCTACGAAAAATACAATGGCACCTTGCTTATGGCTATTGCACAAGACGGTAACAATAATGTCTTTCCCATAACCTTTGCTTTGGTTGAGGTTAAGACCGCTTCTGCTTGGAGTTTCTTCCTTAATAATCTCAGAACACATGTCTCTCCACAAGCCAATCTCTGTTTGATTTCAAACAGGCATGCTGCTATAGAGAGTGCCTACAATAACCATGATAACAGGTGGCATAATCCTTCTTCTACCCATGTATATTGCATTAGACATATTGCACAAAACTTCATGCGTGCAATCAAAGATAAGAACCTTCACAAAAAAGTTGTGAATGTCGGGTATGCTCTAACTCAACCAACATTTCAATACTACCTTAACGAAATTAGGATGTCAAATGCAGATACAGGAAGCTGGTTGGATGATATTCCACTCGAAAAGTGGACAAGGGCTTTTAATGGTGGATGTCATTGGGGCCACATGACGACAAACCTTGTGGAGTCCATGAATGGGGTATTCAAAGGAATTAGAAACATTCCAATCACCGCTTTGGTGAGATCAACTTATTATAGGTTGGCATCACTTTTCGCAACAAGAGGCGAAAGATGAAGTGCAATGTTAACATCAGATCAAGTATTCAGTGAAAGCATAATGAAATTGATGAAAGAGGATACTATCAGAGCCATCACACATGCAGTTACAGTCATTGACCGTCATAGGCAAACATTAAGTGCACAAGAAACAATGGACCATAATGAGGGGAGACCTAATTTATCCTATGCTGTTAGACTAAACAGATGTTGATGTGACTGTGGCAAGTACTGGGCCTTCCGTGTACCTTGCTCACATGCCATTACGGCATGCGCACATGCTCGTCAGGATGCTTATGGCTATCTATCTGATATTTACAAGGAAATTAATGTTATGAACATATACAACGAAGGCTTCGCAATGCTACCAATGGAGGATTATTGGCCTCCATACCAAGGTGACATAGTTTGACACAACGATGAGATGAGAAGAAAGAAAAAGGACATCTAAACAGCAAGCGTATAAGAACCGAAATGGATACCGCTGATAAAATGATAAGATTATGCAGTATATGTCATCAGTTTGGACACAACCGAAAAAATTATCCCAATGTTAAAGGAACATCTGCATCATGATTTAGCTTATCGTTTCATTTTTTGTAACTCAATATTTTCATATATTAATGAGTCTTTATTACAACGGTCTTAACAAAAAATAACACTAACAACACACAACACATACTAATTTCATAAAACATAAAACATTAACTAGGCGATTACAACATTCCTAACTGATTACAACAATAAATTAATTTCATTCGGTTCAAACATGACTTCCCTCGCATCTTTTTCGGTCTTAACATGAAACCATCCACGCAGCTGATCAAGTCTCTCGATACTACATATTTTTCCCCTTCACCAATGTCTCCTTCTAACCACCGATTAAACACCCTCTTAATTTAATTGAAACTTTGTATGTTCCAAAACAGCATGTCCATTGGCGCCTTCTCTCTCGAATAGACGACTTTTCCCCACTGGCGACGATACATATCAGTAGAGCAAAGATATGAGATGAGACGTGGAACTAAATGATCAGAACACCTCTATTTATAAAAAAAAATTCAATTTCTAAGGAGTCTCTAGATGAATTGACGACTCCCTTATGTGTCTATAACCAAGGCGTCAATTGGATTTGAGACTGCATGAGGTGTCTCTAATCCAATTGGCGACACCCTTAGGCCTTGATAAAGGATCGCCAATTGGAATGACGCCCTTAGATACTCAGAAACCCTAACTGGGGTACTTTGGATTTTTTTTAAAAACTAGAGTATTTTGGAAATATTTTTAAAAATGTGGGTTATTTGGATAAAAAATTCTCAATCTTCTTTTGATCTCTTTATTTTATTTTTGTTAATCTTTTAGCCCCCTATTAAAAAACTCAATTTCTTTATCCCTTTATTTAATATTTCTTGGCATTTTTTTATCTTCCTTCAGATTTGAGTTGTTGGCACCTATGTAGCGCTAACATCAAATGCTCACGTGGTGCCACATCAAACAACCTTGGTATATCAAATATTTAAAAATAAAAATAAATTTTATAATATTATATACACACACACACACACGAGAGCTGACTCATTAACACCATGTATAAATCTAAAAGACTCACACTAAATCTCAACCATTAATAAGATTCAATCAAACAGTCATATTAAATGAAATAAAAAATACATGACAATTTCTTTTTCCTAAACAATAAGTTATTCATATCCGTTTGATATATTTATATTAACGATTGTGATTAGGTGTAAGACTTTTAGACTTATATATGATATCAACGAATTTCGTCTCTCTCTCTCTCTCTCTCTCTCTCTCTCTCTCTCTCTCTCTCTCTCTCTCTCTCTCTCTCTCTCTCTCTCTCTCTCTCTCTCTCTCTGGATTTTGCTTAAAATATTAGAAGGAGCGACAAATATTAACTAAAATATTATAATTAAAACTCACAATTATTATTATCATTCTCATTAAAATCATTATTTTAAACTGATATTCTCTACTAAAACAATGACTCATAATATCTAAAGCAATGAAAATATTAAACACACATAAATTTAAACACATTAACAAATGCCTTTGAAAGCAAGCATAGCCATTTTGGTCTAAGGCAAAACCGAGTCTTTGAAAGCAAAACAAAGCAAAATAGAGCCATTTTAGATAGTTTTATAATTTGCAGCAAGCAACGAAAGCAAAGTCATTCTTTCATAATGTCATTTTGGTCTACAAATTTTTAAATAGATTCCTTTGAAATTGAAAGAAAAACTAGATTTCAAAATGTAATTAGAACCTTTGATAGAATTTGAGTTTGATCTAATTCAACCTTACAAAATCAGTTGGTAAGATGAAGGGGTCACCCTATATAAATCTTTGTGGGTCAAGAACAACACAAGTAAGAGAGACACTACCTATTCACCCAAAACCTTAAGATGATAAATATATAGATTCTCTTACTTATAAATGCTCAACTCTCCATATTTATAACTAATGCGAGACTTCAACTCACACTTAATATATTATTCTCAACAAACTCACACTATGTTTTAACTCTAAATCTCTAATGGATTTCAAACTAAAATTAACTCACAACATTATGCATTTCAACTTGTAAGTTGTAATGGATTATAACTTGCAGGAAACATAGCAGAGCAAAGCAATTGTCATTCAATTAGAAATTAAGAGATAGAATTACACATCCACACACCTTTTGATTGAAACTTATGTGACAGTGATGGAAGGAAACAATGTCGACGCTGCCGAAACCCTGAACAAACTCGTCATTGTCGTTAAAGTTGTTGTCGAAGTTGTGAATAAAGACGTCGTCACCGTCGAAGCTGTGAAAAACATCACCAGCGCCGCCGCCGCGGTAGACTATAAGTTGTGCATGTACAAGAGACAAATTGTTTAATGTGAGTGTTGTTGTGTTGTGGCTTAGGAGTGAAAGAAGAAGAAAGGGTTTGAGAGAGTGAAAGACAAAGAAAGAGTTTCAGAGTGAAAAACAAAGAGTTGACTTGGAGGGAGTTGTATTTTTTTACTTATACCAAAACGACGTCACTTGTGAGTCTCTTCACTAAAAGAATAAGATCTGCAAAATTGAATGCACTATTGCTATCACATAATCCTGTACTATCAAAATCAAAATAATTATTTTAAACATAATCTTTTTAATAAATTTATTTCGATTTGTAATAAACACAACACAACCCCTTACAATAGGACCATAAAAAAAGTACATGAAAATGAAAATATAGTTGGATTCTTGGAGAAGCTATGACCACTTGGAATCCACAACGCACGCTTAACTCCCACTTCCACTTCTACTCGCACCACCAAAAGCAACATATTTACCTTGACCGTGTGGGTCATAATGGTTGGATCCATAAACTTCATTGAACATAAAATTCAAATAATTTATGTTAGCTTGGTTCATCACATCACATGTAATATATATATACTTAATGTTTTCAAATGGATCAGATAAGTGTTCTTACTTGCTTCAATTTCATAACCATTGTTATTGCTCCTTAAGAGAGAATTAGAATTTGAACTAAATCCATTCCATTTGTCTAATAAATAATTTGCTACAACAAAAAAGAAATTGTTTGACATCATTAATAGATCGAATCTAATCTAAGATGTAGCATATAATAATTAGATGCATTATGTTTTATACGTACCATGGGAATCAATCTCTCCTCCCTTGCTTATAACTTCATTTATCATTTTATGTGTCAGATTTTTTATACGTTCAACCTTTTCATGATCATATCCATATTTCTCTTTCACCCCCCACCAACCAGAACTATTTGATGCCGTCAGTGTTTCTCGTTTAGCTTCTGCATCATAGATTTCATCCACCAATTTATCATTTTTCATATTAAGATCTTCAAGCATTTGTCTCTTCACTATATCATCAAATGATGAAGTTTCTTCCTTCAGACTCGTTCTTGCCAAAGATTTGGAAGAAGGTTCTCCATAACAAAACGGATTTCCACTTGGAGAAATCATAAGAATATCAACCTTAGCCCCACAAAGTGTTGATAATTCTGTGGCCTTGTTGTAAATACCTGTTTTTCTTTTTGTAAATGTTGCAAAAAGATTGTCTATATCCTCAATCTTCTTCATCACTAACTTTTGTTTGCCTCTTGTTTTTTTCTTTGGCTCCATTCTAATCAAGATAATAATACTTAAGATAAGAATGAGCAAATAAGAAATGCATGATGTAGTTTTTATTCTTATGTTTATATAGACAATAAAAAAAGATATGACTTGAATTCTATAAGAGTGACAACTCACAACCAATTGTATTATTGATTATAGTATCCAATTTCATTTATTTAAAGTTATGTTACTTTTTCAATAATAAATATTTTTTTTATTAAATTTAAATTTTGAGTATTTTTTTTGTATGTATATTTTTTAAAAGATTAAATGGTATAACATAAAAGGAAAAAGATACAAAGCTAAGAGGGATAGGTCTAATCCAGAGAGAAGAGAATAAAAAAAAATAATAAATAAAAAAAATAAAAATAAAATAAATAATTGACTTAAATGCACTTTTGATCTTCCTATTTAGGTATTTTTAATTTTTTTGCCCCCTCTTTTAAAGCCCAACTTTTTGGTACCTCAATTTTCCTTTCATTGGATTTTTTTTTTTATCTCCGTCCACTTTTACACATGTGGTGTCCTCATATAATACATGGCATTGCCACTGTTTCGACAAGTTAGCATTTACATATTTTTATTTTTTTAAAATAAATTAAAATAATATTAAAATAAAACTCTTAATACATTTAAATAATTTATTGAATATTGTAAGTATTCTTTTTTTATTACCCATAATATTTCATATTCACCTGATCTTCTCTCATCTTTTTCCTTCACTCACACTTACCTTCTTTGTTCCAAAGCCATAAGAATCCTAGAAATTTATATTTTGCAAACGAAGGAAGAATAAAATATTCTAGTCATTCAAGATATCACAACACTCATTTTTCATCAAGGGAAATAAATCTAATCCTTTGATGACCAAATGAATTGATGCAAACCCAAACCCTTGTTTCTTTGGTTATGAGATGTATAAGGTATGTTTTCAATTATTTAGATTTTGAAGTTGTCTTCTTATACTCGGGTCATGATTTGTAATTCATCTCCAATGATTTTTCCAGGTTCAAGGCTACAAGAAATGTAGTTATTTTATTTATTGGATGAAGAGATGAATCTTAGAGAAAAGAAAATAATCTCCTTATTACTAAAGAATCTAAATAAAGAGAAAGAAGATATTAATTCCTACAAAGCAAAAGATGAAGAAATGAAGATCAAAATGAATATATTGATGAAGCAATTGAAGTTCAACATGGTGATCACCCTTATGATGTTTTTTTTTTTGCTTTAGTTGCTTTAACACTAATGAAATAGGTATTTTTGTGATCCAAAAGTGTTTAGTTGATTAGGTTTTTGGTTTTTTTTTTCAAATCATGTGTTGTTTAGTTTTTAAGTGATTATGATTTAGGTTATTATGTTGTAAAAAGTGATGCACTATATTTTTACAAAATTGACTAATGAATGAATTAGGTTGATCAATTCTATTTGTTTAAGGAATGAATTATGTCAAAATAATTATTCTTAAGTTTAAGGAATAAATTGTGTCAAAGAAATTATGTGTATGCTTAAAGAAGGAATTATGTAAAGCTTTACATAATATTAAAACAATTCTATCAAAACAGTATTGTGTGCATAAATGTTGTGATACTATCAAAATATTATGCATAAGGTGTGCACAATGTCTACATAAAGACTTGTTTGTATAAGGTTCATGACAATACGTACATAAAAGAGGTTCAAAACATGATACATAAGTTGTGCATAATGTCTACATAAGTTTCATAACAACAGGTTCATAATGTCTATCATAACACCTATTTTGCACATAGCACTTGTAGTGATAGTACTTGACTTTTTGGTTCCTATCCCATTGATAACTTGCTTTACTCATCTTCAAAAGGTCCAACGCTAGCTTGCTTCAAAACCTAGAAAATAAATGACACAAGTTGAATGATTGGGAGAAGCAATTTGTTTTTATATGTCAGTTTCATGGTCAAAGATGGTGAATGATATGTGTTTGAAGGATAAGAGGACTAGAGTTCATACAAATGGAAGATAAAGTTCAACGGTTCGTTTCATTTCTGATCATTTTACCATTAAAAAATTATAAATTTGTCTATTAAATGTATTAAGAGTATTTTTGAAAAATCATTCTAGTTTAATTAAAATAATTGACATAACTGATGACTTGACACCATTGCGGTAGTGCCACGTGTTATGGAAAGTATGTTTTTTTATGAACCGAAAGATTGGTTAAGGTGAAAAAAATTTCACCTCGGATCTGCAATGTAAGCAAATGGAAAATCAATTAATATCCTAACTTTTCATCTTGTCACGTGTGTGATCGGTGGGATATCCATTGCTTTTCACCTCTGTCAAATCTCTGGTTGAAAGAGCATCCTTTAGCTTTTACATCTATTATGCAACTTAACCGATGTGAAATACCGTGTGTGTGTGTACACTACTACAAATAAAATATTTCATGACAAAATTTTTATCTCACCTAATCAAAAATTGAGGTAGAATGCCAAGGCGCGCCATATATTTTTTTCCTAATACATATCAAATATTCCCTCGGTTTCTAAATATAAATGAGGAGAAAAATAAATCACAACATGCTTCGAATCCCAGCAACAACAGTTTATGTTTTTTAATTCTTTAAAAGTGGTGTTTTTCTTTTTATTTTATTTTTAAATTTTAAATTAATGATCTATACAATCAGTTATATTTAATAATCGAGAGTTAAATTATCAAATTTTACTATAAAAGCACTCGTTAATCAGATTTTACCATAAACCTAACTATAGTCGCTCCAAACTTGTATACATTATTTTTTGGGATGGATTGCAAGACCAAATTTTAAGCTCATGCAATTCATCCCAACATAATCGTGTTGATGTTGTTATTGTATTTTTGGAATAACCACTGCAGTATTTTTCCTCTTTGGCAACAATTGGAGAGTGTTGTGAAAACTGAGAAAAACATTCCCTAAAAGAATAAGGGACGTTTTCCAGCAGCCCTTAGTGCAAGCGTTGCCTATTGTTTAAGGCAACATTTTTTTATCTATTTTTGGGCTCACTTTTGTAAAATGTCGCCTAAATTATATAAAAAGGGGACGTTTTTCCATGACATCTTAGGCGACGTTTTTAAAATTTTGTTAAAAATTGCAACGACCAAAAAACATTCTCTAAAAGTGGTAGAGTGAGAACACTCTATAGGGACAATTTTCAATTGTTGTCATATCCAATAACAATTACATATTGTTCCCTAAAAGTAAAACAATGAGAACACTTGGTAAATAAAATCTTCAAACATAAATTGCATGTATTACACAAGTTATGTTAATAAAATCTTGAAAAATTAACTCATATACACAATACACACAAAGTGTATAACATTATTTAATATTAAAATGACAAAATACACAGTTTCTTTAAGTTTAATACTTATGTACTTCACTAAAAAATAACATCCAACTTATTTAAGTTTGTCTAACTTATTGTCATATTCATCGTCCTCTTCAATACCTATGTCGTCCTCTTGAAGTTCATCACATATGTCATCCTCTTGAAGTTCATCAACTACTTCATTCTCATCACTTGAGTCATCCTCTTTAAATTCTCATCACTTGAGTTGTCCTCTTAAAATTCGTCACTTATGTTGTCATCCTCATAATCATCTTTATTGATACCTTGCTGCAATAAGAAAATAAAACAAAAAACTTTAGTGACAATACTAAAGGAGAAAAGGAACAAAATAAAAATAATGACAAAAAGCAACATAAGGTACTTATCTAATCTTTGAAATTTCTAGCTTCTTTTATGGTTCATAATGTTAGAACACAGATTGGTTCTCAATAATATCTCTATGTTTTGATGATAACTATTATGAAATTTTGTAATTAAGAATTATATACTCTAAAATTTGCTTAAGAGTTTTTACTGCAGACATTAAAGTAATTATCACTCCAGAAGCAAATCAGAACTGAACATAAGAAATATGCTAGACTCTGAAGCGCCAGATGCATCCATTAGAAGATTTTGAATGCTGCCAACAGAAGATCCTGAGCGTAGCCTCCAGAAGGATCTGAAGCAGAAGCTCCAGAAGAATCTGAAGCAAGTCAGAAGCATCTGAACCAAAGAAGAATTCTGTATGAAGAGTTTTCAAAGCATAGTTACTACAGAAGATTCTGAAAGTGCTAGAGCTGCCAGTACTGAGGATCTGACTCAATTATGCTCTGAACTTACACACGCTAAAAGCACACCTGCTGCAAAGACTCTGATTCAGCAAAACTCTGATCAACATCAGAAGGCTCTGATCAATTTAGACTCTGATGATTCTTGCTGAAAACTGATGAAGAAGAATTCAAAGATTATGTCCGTTGGAATAATCCAAACGACTCTTTCCTTATTTATGCTAGACACAAGAACACAGACAAAAAGGATTTCTCTGTGCTTTCTTCTTCTAGGAAAGGTCACTTGATGTGAAGACAAAAAGGCTCAGACCTTTTAGTACACTCTTCTCAATGTGAAGTTCTCTTGGATCAAGCTACCTATAAAAGCAAGTCTTCACCCATCTTCTTCAGTTGACGTTTTACCTGAAAAGAAATCAATATTCAAAGCTCTCATACTATTCACATTCTTTCTAGAATTAATTTCTTTGTTCTTATCTTTAAGTGAAAAATCACAGTTGTGATAAAGCTTTATTAGAAGCAATTTAAACACTTGTATTTGTTATTACATTTGATTGTAAGAAAACCTTAAGAAGATCCAGTTAGGATCAATAGTTCTTGAGAAGACTTTGAACAATTGTTCTTAGTGCTTACTATTGTAATCAGTTAATTAAATAGTGGATTAAGTCCTTGATTGAGAAAGGCAAATCACTCTAGGAAGGGTGGACTGGAGTAGTTGAGTTCAACGAACTAGGATAAAAATACTTGAGTTTTTATTTCTAAGTTTTTATCTTCATACTTATTCGACCCCCCTTCTAAGTATTTTCTCACCTTCAGTTGGCATCAGAGCTCCGGTTCTGTGTGTGCTACCACTTCACAGTGACAGTAAAGA